AGGGGCTTTTCACCCAGTTCCAAAAACCCTAGAGGTATAATAGGTCATTTTTAAATTATGGTTATGTCATGTTGCTTAGCTAGCTCCAGGATAACTGATTGTTTTCCCTAGACTGTTTGCTTTGCTTGTGTATAACCCTTTTGTTAGGTTTGGTTTCCCCACACCAATCATGTGGTTTTTGCCTTTATAAGCTTTGTGCTAGTTACATTCAGGGCTGCAGGTTCTTTAGGACATAGCCCACTTATAGTCGCCAGTTTTCTAATAAGGACTCTTGATTCAACCTCTTAAAGTGTGGCTTCTCTGTATCTCACTGATCCAATTCCTGTATAACACTTGGAAGCCCCACCGAGATCCCAGGGCTAACATAGCACTTGGGTCCCTTGAAACCACTGGCAGGTAGCCTTGGAGATTGGGCTAGGGAGGATGGGCACTCCACAGAGGAGGCACCCCCTGAGATGTTCTAGGACCTTGTGGCCTTTCTTCCACTCCAACAGCATGCCAGACATGCTACTAAATCAGGAGCTACTCAGGAGACCTCCTGAGGTAAGTTCCTATTTTTAACTATTTCTGTTTTTTGGAGATCGAGCTTTCTGGGCTGTTGTAGAAGGGGATCCAATGTAATACAAATCATACAATCAATTTGTATGCTAATGTGCCTTGCTTGCAAAGCTGATAAACATATTCTGTGTTTGGTTATGTAAGTCTTGGTTATCCTTAAAAGGAAGAGATTCTGTTTGTTGGCAAAAGTATTTGTTTTTAATTTTTTGTTTTTCTAACACTGACCCTGTGGTTCTATAGTGCTATGGGCAAAATATATTTTGTCATTGGAATTCCAGGAAACTTACAGCTGGTGTTCATTTTTAAGACTAAGCATGGTTTAAGACCTTTGTGCAAAAGTGTGTATGTGTGTAAATATGTTCAAAGTAATCTGCTATTTTGATACAAAATCTGTCAGCATGGTGTGAGTAAAAGTAGTCTTTTCTATCAAACAGAAGTGCTTCTATTTTGTAGGTGATTTTTTTTTTGGTATTGATATTTCCTGAAATTGTTTACTTTTTCACTTCAATTGTAACTATTTTCTATGCTGCTTGTGACCAGCTGCCAGCTGAGGAATGTGAATCTTGGGTAGAAGGAGTTAACTGCCAAGTGTGCTGGGTATTACAGAAGAGTTTTTACCAATGGAAGCAGCAGTAAAAGGAATGAGACCCCGTTTGGAGTGGGAGCTTTCCACTCACCTCTTCGTCCTCCAACTGCATCTGCCAGCCACCAAATTCCCAGCCCCACTCCCAGAAAACTGTAAACCTTTAAAAAAAAGTTAGAGAATAGGCCCTTTTTTAATCTTGGTAATCAATCACACTTACAATGTGAACCTAACTCCTTGACAAGGAGAAGGGACAGGTTGGATTGGGATAAAAACTTAGCAAACTGCTCTGCCCAGTGTACCTGCCTAGCTCTGGGTAGAGTAAGGGTATTGCACCCTTTTGAACAAAAGTAAACTTGCCTTGACTAAATTCCCTGTATCGCTTATGTGTCAATTTATTCATTTCTGACACCAGAGAGTCATTCTGCAGATCTAAAGTAACCAAAAGTTAAATGGGCTCCACAGGCCAAAAAGAAAAAAATGGGCCGTTTTAAGCTCAAATCGTAAAAGTCATCAGATTTGGGTGTGAACAAATATGTCAAAGAGTTATTATATTACATTAAGAAAAGCTATGTTGAGTTCAAAATTTTCTAGGAAGTAATCTAAAATATAAATTAAAGAAATACCAGTAAGGAGATAAAGGAATATAAAGAAAAAGAAGTTAATAAGGAAAGTTTTGTGAAAGGGAATTGAGGAAACAAAACTTATCCTTTAGATAAGAAAGAGTTTGGGAAGGAAGAAATGTCTTAAATGTTTGTTTCAAAATGGAAAAAAGGAAAAATGAACACTAACCACAGAACACTTGAGTAACTGATAGTAAATTGCTCCTCCTAGCATCCCAAAGGATAAATATGGGTGGCAGGATACACTCTCTCTCTAGGACTCTGCCTTTCTGCTTGTTTGTTTGTTATCAATAAAGTTCTGCAAAGTTTACAAAGTAAACATTGCATAGTTGGTATGTAATTAAGTTGACTATGATTTTAAAACTTATCTAAAGATTTTTCCTAAGGTCAAAATTATTACACTAATGTAAAACCAGTATCCCAGTCTTTATGTCCATCTATGAAAGTAATTGTTTAAGTGTTTATGTCAAGGTCCATCAAATGATTACATTTTAAATGAGTATGCAAAACTAAAAAGCTAATATGTCTGTTTCCCAAATTTTATTTATTTTTGTCGGTTGTGGGGCTTGAACTCTGGGCCTAGATGCTGTCCCTGAGCTCTTCAGTGAGTGGTCTACCATTTGAGCCACAGTGCCACTTCTGGTTTTCTGGTGGTTTATTGGAGATAAAAGTCTCACGGACTTTCCTGCCCAGGCTGGCTTTGAACCATGATCCTCAGATCTGTCTCCTGAGTAGCTAGGATTATAGGCATGAACCACAAGTGCCCGGCTATTTCTGAAATTTTTAAGCCACCTTGGATACAGAGCTCCTGCATTCTTTGTTGCAATAAAAAAAAAAAGTGACATCTACAATGGTTTTAATCTTTTTGTTGTTGTTTGTCGTGGGCTTGAACTCTGGGCTTGGGTGCTGTCCCTCTGCTCTTCAGCTCAAGGTCAGAGCTCTACCGCTTGAGCCACAGCACTACTTCTGGTTTTCTGGTGGCTCATTGGAGATAAGTCTCATGGACTTTCCTGCCCAGACTGGCTTTGAACCACGATCCTTAGATCTCAGCCTCCTGGGTAACTAGGACTACAGGTGTGAGCCACTGGCGCCTGGCTTGGTTTTAATCTTAATTAGTATCCTAAACTGCTATTTATAATTAAAAAAACTAACTTGTTTAATTAGTTACTGTTTTAAAACTTCAATAATGACTACTGTTAAGTCCTGTTATTATAGATTTGATCTTTTGCAACATTTACAGTCAGACCCACAGAGGGATAAATAGCTCTTACAAGTATTTATTGGTCAAACTTAATTTTTATTCTTAATAAATTTAAGGTAAGCCCTGCTTAAAAACGAATTCTATTGATTTCCTGGTTGCCTCAATTGGAAATAAGAGGCTCTATTGGCACTGACTTACACCCAACCTGCCATTCTCGCCCCCTCTAGTGGGAGATGTGGCCAACTGGGACAGCTCATCTCAGCAACAAGTAAAATACACTAACTAGGACATTATCCCAGAAAGGATAAGGAACCTCGAAGATCCACCCCAACAATCCTGGTGACTAGGGACCATGAGAGGTGGTTGGGAAGAACTGCTCAGATAAGAGGCAATGGTGTCTGATCCTGAATGGAGCCACTTGTGCTTGTCCCTTCAAAAGTATTCAAAGCCAGAGAGCAAAAGAAAATAGTTCATAAGCATGTGTATCATGCCCATAACTGTCTACCTCTTGGAGTCAGAGTAGCTTGCCTTAGCATCTTCCTGTGTCTCCCATCCATACTAGGCAGCCATTTATATACAGGAAATGATTAATGCCTTATTAAGGCCCTTATCCACTCCAATCCATCCCTAGCCTCTAACTGTTGGAACTGTACAAAGCCAGGCCCCGTACAATATCTGGGTGTTATTCTTAACCAGTCTACCATGCTCTTCCCTACCCAGTTGCCAGAAACCTTAGACACTTCCTTCCTGCCTCCAGTCTAGTTATATGGAAATTCTTCCTGTAATGGGCCACAACTGGGTTTGTGCTCCAAATGGAACTTTTCTGGCTTGTGGTGAAGGTGTGTTCTCCTATGTCATTCATATCAACTGGTCGTACCACCTTGTCAGCCTTTTGCCTGATCTCAACTCAATTGTAGGAGAATCTTGGTGGATGATGGGAATCACTCCAGTGGACCTCCTGGTAGGATTCCCTCTCATAGTAGTCCCACTAGCTGGCTCCTCTATTAGGACCTGTAACAGACATCCTCTTACTCCTTCTTGGACCTTGTTTTCTTAACCTTTTTCAAAGGTTTCTATTTAACAGGATAACAGCCCTCACTCAGGACACAAACTGGGAGCAAGCCAAGGCCATTCTATTACTGCAGGCAACTGGAGGCTTCATTTACACTGCCTTGGGCTGGGAAGGTGGCTCAGTGGTAGAGCGCTTGCCTTGCATGCCTGAGGCCCTGGGTTCGATTCCTCAGCACCACATAAGCAAAAAGAAAAAAAAGAGCCAGAAGTGGCACTGTGGCTCGAGTGGTAGAGTGCTAGCCTTGAGCTGAAGAGCTGAGGGACAGCGCCCAGGCCCAGAGTTCAGGCCCCACAACCAGACCCAAAAAAAAAGAAATCATTTATACTGCCCTGCCCTGCCCTGTCCAGCACAGACCCAGACCCTAAAGACCCCAGCCTCAGGGATTCCTCGACATCTCCATGTCAGCAGGAAGTAGCCAGAAGAGACCATGAGGTATCTCAACTTTTTCATACCTTTTCAGGGTCTCAAATGATGAAAATCTGCTTTGTTCTCATAACCCCATGTTGCTCCTATGGCCCACTGACCACCCTTCCCCAGCGACCCCTCGTGATTCTCAGGAACTTTACCCTTGACCTTATCTGAACGTGCAGGATTGTCAGCATCAGAAGGACACCCCTTCCATAAATCCCCAACACAACAGGACAAAGGCATTCTAAAGAAGGATCTCATGCTTGCATGTATAAAAACCTAACACCCTCTACACTGCAGCAATGATTAAAGCCTGTTCCTGAGGTCTCTGCCTTCTTTCTGTCCTTTTGTCCACTTGATCTTTTCTCACACTCATGACTCAGTCGCCTAACAGGTATAAAGTTCCAGTTTTGCAAGATGAAAAAATGTTCTGGCAACAAGTTCAACAGCAATGTCAAAATATTCAACAGTGGTGAACTATACATTTGAAAATAGATAAGATGGTAAAACTTCTGCCACATTAAAAACAAGACAAACTCAAAATTTGCTACTTACCGCATTCTGTTATTGATTTTTATTTTAAACATTCCTTATGGCTTCAATGTTTGGTTGGAACAAGCTAGTGTCTTGACACTATGAAGAGAAATCAAAGAATGTTCAGTGAATTTTTGTTTTTTTGCTTAACCAGCAGGAAATTAGCAAATGCTTTTTAAAAATTTTATTATGAAAATACTGTACAGAGGGGTTACAATTACATGAGCAAGGTAATCAAGCATCGTTATCAAGCGTATCAAGCTTATCAATGCTTATCAAGCATTGTTGCCTCCTCCTTTGTTTACCCTTACCATCCCTGCCAGCAAATGCTTTGAATTATCTTCAAGTTATAATTTTCTGTTATGCTTTCTCAAAATGACCTCTAAGCAATGAGGTGGGTAATGACTTTTTGCTCATTGGTGCTAACACGGCTATATTTTGCTTACATCTTTCTTTTGAGGATCTGGAAGCAAAATAAATTGACATCATTTCCACTATCTAATGCTTACACATTTAAAATCCAGAGCATACAGGGCAGGGAGCAGAACCTCTTATTATGTCAACAATTTGCATTGGAATTCAATTTCTAAAATCCATGCATGTGTACTCTTATTTACTACCACAATTCCTTTTTATATCAGCAGCAATCCACAGGCATTCAACTGGAAGAATTAAAATAAACCCCCCATCCCCTCCAAGGAAAAACTATAGGGTCTAAAACAGGGTTGTAGATAAATAAATGACAGGGTGGAATCCTTTCCATTCTTGCTGACCATTGCTAAAAGGAGCTGGATTTTTTTTTTTTAATCCATGTAGTGTATTTGCAGCTAAACCAAGGCAATAGATGATATCAAAATATTTAAAACTTCAAAATAGAATACATTTACTAGTTTCTGCATCTATTTAGTTTATACTTTGACAAACCCACTTCATCTTGTAACCTATGAAAGAAATGAGAATTCTGACTAGAGTCTTCCAAGATACTTTATTGATTAAAGAATGGCAAGACAATTACCACCAAAATAGTGCTGAAGAATCAATTCTGGTTTTCCAAGGTCATGCTTTTCCATGGTAAAAATTATTGCAGATGGGCTGGGAAGTTGGCTCAGTGGTAGAGTGCTTGCCTCCCATGCATAAGGCCCTAGGTTTGATTCCTCAGCACCACAGAAAAAAGCTGGAAGTGGCGCTGTGGCTCAAGTGGTAGGGTGCTAGCCTTGAGCTGAAGAGCTAAGGGACAGTGTCTAGGCCCAGAGTTCAGCCCGCACAACAGGCCCCCCGCCTCCTCCCCAAAATTATTGTAGAGCAAAGGAATGAATTAGTATTTTCAGAAAAACTCATTCAGTGTCAGACTCCTCTACCTCCCTTTCTTCACATTTTTCATTATATTTCCAGGGAAACAATTTCAGCTTAGTTAGCTTTATGGTCCCAGTACCCAGCCCTACATATGGTAAATATTCATTGAATGACTACTGGATGAATCCCACTTAGACATGACAACATGTATAGGTTAACATGTATGGGACAAGTTAGTTTTTCAAGATGTAAATGTGAAGCACAGCAGAAAAATTTTGCTCACAGAACTTTTCCTGATTTAAACATGTTATGAACAAAAGTGCCTTCAGTGTTAAGTACTGGTGGTCGTGGTTCATGTCCATAATCCTAGCTACTTAGGAGGCTGAGATAGGAGGCTTGAGGTTGGAAGCCAGCCTAGTCAAGATAGACCACAAAAATCTTATCTCCAAAAGAAAACTAGATGTGTGAAGCTGCGGCTCAAGTGCTAAAGCCATCAGCCTTGAACAGAACAAGCTAAGGGACAGTGCCCAGGTGCTGAGTTCATTGTTGAACTTGGTTGTCGAATGCTGTCCCAAATTTAAGAGATGTGAGCAGCACTGCTACTTTTTTAAATGAGAAGATTCTCATGGGAATTCCTATTTTTATATCTTTGGGAATGTGAAAATTTGGGAGGCTCTGGAAACTGATAAAAGGGGAAAAGTTAAACTTTGTTTTTTATTTTTCCAGTGTATTTCGAAACTATTTGGTAAAAGATAATGCAGGTTTCTCCATAAACCAGCTAAGCAAATTCAATTGGTAGCTGTACAAGGGAAAATACAACATTTCTTTTCAAAGGCAGGATATAAAAGCAGGTGCTCATATTGCAGCTGACCTTGATGAGTTCAGAACATGCTGGAAATCAATCGCTGGAATGTGATTATTGATATATGTTACTGCTCACATCATATGGAAATAAAGCCGTTCTGGAGGAGGAAAAAAAAATCCAACTGTAATGGAAATACTTCTCATAAAACTACCTTGTCTGCATCTCCTTAAGGGTTTTCCCAGCAATGCAGTACAATTCAAAGTCGACTGCAAAATGTGAAAGCCTTTTTTAAAAAACAAACAAACCACAAAACAAGTGAATGCTGCTACATGAAAATGATTTCTGCCCAAATTATAATGCGAAGGAAAGCAAAAACCAAGGCTCCCCCACCCTGAACTTACATATATGCTTTCTACACAGCAGTTTTAAAACATGAACATTAAAAAAACACCAAACCCTGCAGAGTATCTTCAAAAACCAAGCCACTGAATTACTGGACGAAGTTCCCCCAGAAATGAAGGGTAAAAGGCACACATGCTCAGCGCGGCCCCCCCCAGGCCCCCCGCAGCCCCCCGCAGGGGAAGGCGCACGGCCCCCGGGTGTCCGCTCACCGCAGCGGGCCGCGCACTCACTCGTTCGTTCGCAGCTCCGGGACCTCCCGCGGCAGAGGCGTCTGTCCGGCTTTTTTTTTTTTTTTCTTTTTCCCACCCCTTTTAAAATTTAATCTTTTTCTGGGGTTTTTCTTCCTCTAAACCAAGCAGCGTGGTGGTTTTTTCCGGGACCGGTCGCCGGAGAGGCGCCTCCCGCCCGCAGAGAGCGCGCGGGGAACCGGGGCGGGGGGGTGGGGGGGGAGCGGGAGGAGGGTCCCCCGAGTGGCCACCCCCCTCCTCCGGTGACGCTCCACTTCCTGTTACACTAAAGGCATCCCCGAGAAGCTGGGTCTTGTAGTTTCCAACCCCAGCTCCAAAACAGCCAGTCCCGCTACACCCCCCACCCCCCAATTTCTCCTAGGTAACAACTTTTAATCCTGCACGTGACACACCACCTGATCACAGCCGATCGTTTCCCCCGGGAAGGCTCCCCGGAGGCGTGTGTGCCGCGATCGGGTGCGGGGAGGGGGGAGGCCTGCTGGAGGGGGTCACCCTGGGGTTGGGGTGTATGTGGGGGTCACTCCGCCGCACCCCACGTGGCCGGCTTCTGCCGGCGTCTGGCACTGAGATCCTGGATGGTGGCAGTGGCGGCTGCCCCGGGAATGACCTGGAAGTGAAAGGGACCTTGAGGATTTGGGGGTGTCGTGGGGTTGGGAACACGGAGGAAGCAATGCGTGCACGAAGCTCAGTGCGACGGCCTCCGCGGATCCCTGCGTGAGGGAGTTCTTCTAACTACTCAATGTCACCGCACTAGTGACTCCCGAGCACAGGCAGCACAGCACATGGCCTCTAGCCACGCTACCCAAGGGCACCCTGTAGGGGGTTAATGGAGAAAGGGTAGTACCGAGCAACTAACTAGCATCCGGGATTCCAAACCCCGCTCAGCAAGTCGCATTTCCTTGCAACCCGCCTCAGGCCACGCCCACATCCGCAGGGGCCCCGCCCGCCCCGCGGAGACGCCTCCCGTCACCGTGGAGGCCACGCCCACCGGCCTGGAAAGCAGCCACGGAGACCCCGCCCCACGTTCCCGCCTCCCCCTTTCCCGTCCCAGGACGCGTTGCGCGTCCGAGACCGGAAGTCGGCGGGTTCCCGGGTGCGTGTCCGTGTGTGTGTGTGTGTGTCTGTGTCTCGCGGCGGCGCGCGCGGCCTCGGCCCCCGGCCGAGCTCTCGGGGTTCTCGTCCTGAGGGGCGTCGCCTGCTGTCACTGTCACCACCCCGCGGAGCCCCTGCGGAGGGGAGCAGGCCCGGCCCTGTCGCCGGGCGGAGAAGATGCTGCCCCTGTCCATCAAGGATGACGAGTACAAACCACCCAAGTTCAATCTGTTCGGCAAGATCTCGGGCTGGTTTAGGTGCGGGGGGTTGTGCGTGCGCGGAGCGGGGGGGGGGGGCGGCCGAGAGGGAAGACCCCACGCCCGAGGGGGGCCCGCGAGCCCGGGGAGGCAGATGTGGAGAAGGGCGTGCTTGTCCCGTTGGGGGGGGGAGGGAGGGGAAGATCTGGAAAATGGGGGACCCGGCTGGGGGGGGGGGTGTCCCAGCACCCGCGTAATCCCCCGCCTGTGTCGTGCCCAGGTCCATCCTGTCGGACAAGACGTCTCGGAACCTGTTTTTCTTCCTGTGCCTCAACCTCTCCTTCGCTTTCGTGGAACTGCTCTACGGCATCTGGAGCAACTGGTAACCAAAGGGGAGAATGATCGGGGCGGGGGGGGGGGGCAAGGGGTGGGGGAGACCGGGCACGAGTTGCCTAGTGCCACGTAGTGCCTCGCCGGGGAGCCCGGGCTTACCTTTGGCACCACCTCTGCTGCTGGAGCTGTCTCCTACCACCCGCACCCATCCGGCTGGGTTACATCTGTGAGGATCAAGGCCTGTCGTGTGCTTCCTCCTTCCTCCGCTTCCTCATCTTGGCGGATGGATAAAAGCCGGCTCTCCGCACCGCCTGAGTCTAGCGCACTGGGAATTCATTGGGAGAGCCCTCAGATGTCTCTTTGTGGGGAGTGGCATTTTGGATGTCTGTGTTGGCCTATCTGAGATGCTCGGTTCAGTTGGTGGCTAGGTCTTTGAATAACCTTTGATTCTAAACGTGGATTTTGGTTTGTTTATTTCTAAAGAATAACCAAATAGCTGAGAAAATGGAGGTTATTCTCTTAACTTTTCTTCTGAAACTGTCTCGTGATTTTTCTCTGGCCTCAACTATAATGGTAGAATCCCATAGAGTTTTCTAAAAACGTCTTTTGAGTTGATTTCTAGTATGGGCATTGATTTTGTTACTGTTTTTGAAACTGCTTTGGGAAGAAGTAAATTCAGTATAAGTATGGAAATGAAGTGTTTGCTGTGTAAGTACTTAAGGTTTTGTGAAGCTGTTCTGCTAATACCACACATTTAGCTGTACTAACACCATCTTTAGATCTTACATAGCTGAAAAAAAAAATCTAATGAAAGGACCAGGCATAGTGGGTCATGCCTAGAATCCCAGCTACTCTGGAGGTGGAGATGTAGGAATATTGGTTCTAGACCAGCACGGACAAAACTTACATAGAGATCAGTTCCATCTCTGCAATAAAATTGACTTGCTAGTATGTGTCTGTACTCTTTAGCAGAAGGAGAATTGAGGTCTGACTGGGCAAAAGCATGAAACCCTGTCTGAAAATAACTAAAGCAAAGAAAGGCTGAAGGTATGGCTGAGATGGTAGAGCACATGACTAGCACAAGGTTTTTTTTTGTTGTTTGTTTTTTAAAAGGCTGGTGCTGCAGCCCAGTGTAAAGCACTCATTTAGCCTACATGCTGTTCTAGGTTTCCCACCACACCTACAAAAAAATTTAATGAAAGAGAACACTCAGGATATTATTCAAAGCTTCAGGGTGAAATAGACCATGGAGACCAGATTCCAAACTATAATGTTTATGGTTTGATTTCTAATAATTAAACAGACTTAGTTTCTGTCCTTTCAGTTGTGTTTTCAGAGAAGATGGCTATCTCTGACCTTTATTTCTATTGAGATTGTACAATGATAGATGGTATCACAAGCTTTTGAGACATTTATAGTCTTAAAAATGCAAAAGTGAGTTTTTCAGCTCAACTGTCAGTTCATTTTTATTAAAAATAGTAGTTTAAAAAGGTAGTTTTGCCATTAGTTGGCTGTGAAAGGTACATTGGCACAATTCAGGTTTTTTATATTTTCATTCTTTTTTACTCAGTTTGCTCTGGTTGGCACTCCACCACTCAAACCAACCCCCTATCTGGGCTTTTTGCTGCTTATTTTAGAAATGGAGTCTCATTAATTTTTCTTCAAGGACTTGCCTTAAACTGCCATTCTCCACACCTTGAAACCATTTTGAACATTTTGAATACCCAGGAAACGCGCACACATGCATGTGTGTGTGTGTATGTGTATAGAATCTGTAGTCACACATTGATTTTTTTAATTCCATAATTAACACCATTCAATGTATTTTACAGGTTGAAAGTACTATAGTCTAACTCATACTTAAATACTTGTATTTTAATTATGAATAAGCAATTTATAATATTTATAATATATTTTACATTTTCCTCTAAATTATGTCCTATTTTTGGTATATCTTCTAGTTGTATCTTGGTTATATTGTTATATCTGTACATTTGCTTTAGTTTCTTTGTATAGTAATGCATTATATTTCATGTCATGGTGGATTTATTACCTCAGAATAAATCACATTGTGAAGTATTTTGTTCAAGGGATTCATATCTGAAGTGCTTAAACAATCTCTTTCCTGGAAAGTTAGGTGAATATACCTAATTTCTTACATATAGGGCACAAGTAAGAAAAGTACTAAAACTATTACTTTCCATGTCATTTGTCAACAGATGCCATTGCATAAGGAAAATAGCAATGATAGGTAACTAGCTCTTCTGTCCTTAGATGATTGGCTCTTTTGCCTTTGAGTGACTGGTTCTGTTGTACCCTTCCAGTTTATCCTTTCATTGTGTTCAAATCCTTCAGATTTGAAATGTAATCCTGTTATTGGTCTTACCATAATCACTTAGCAGCTATTTGTCTTTTTATGCTTATGTATATGAACTTTCTTTTTTTTTTTTTTGGTTGGTCATGGGGTTTGAACTCTGGGTTTGGGCTGTCCCTGTGCTCTTCAGCACAAGGAGAGCAAACTACTGCTTGAGCCACAGCGCCACTTCCTGTACATGAACTTTAATATCCACAATCACTTATTCCCCATTTAAATTTTTATCAGTGATATGAGGCACATTGAGAAATTATTCTGACCTTTTCATAATCTGGCTGCTTTTCTTCCTCCTCTTCCTCCTGTTCTTCTGCTTCTTCCTTCTCATTTCCTTTTGTGCCAGTCCTAACACTTGAACTTAGGGTTTTAACCTTGTCCCTAAGCTTTTGTGCTCAAGACTGGTGCTCTACCATTTTAGCCACAGCTCCACTTCCAGCTGGAGATAAGAATCTCAGGGACTTTCCTGCCTAGGCTGGCTTTGAACCTTGATCCTCAGATCTTAGCCTCCTGAGTAGCTAGGATTACAGGCATGAGCCACCAGCATCCAGCTCATAATCTGGCTTTTTATGTTATTTAGAGACCACAATTTCAGTTCCTTTGGTTGCTTTCAATAATTCATTATTTTTTTTGTGTGTCTGAATTATCTCTGTTTATAGGGCAAGTTAGCTTTTAAGTTCCTTACATTTCCTTAAAGTTCCTTAAATTTCTCACCAAAATCTTTTGTTTTAGTCATTTCTGTCTTCATCTTCATTGTAGAGAAATAAAGTTCAAGGAGTGAGTGCTGGTGGCTCATGCCTGCAATCCTAGGTACTCAGGAGACTGAGATCTGAGGATTGTGGTTCAAAGCCAGCCCAGGTAGAAAAGTCTCCCTGAGACTCTTATCCCCAATTAACTACTCAAAAAATACAAGTGGAGCTGTGGCTCAAAGTGGTAGAGCACACTAGCCTTGAGCAAAAGAGCTCAGGGACTGTCTTGCATCTGAGTTCAAGCCCCATTAACACCCTGTGAGCCCTGCATAATAGCTTGGCAGAGGCATCTCATGGCCTCTCAGGAAGGCGTTCATATACCTCATCTAACCCCTTCTCCCTCTCATCTTCCCTCCATAGCTTGGTATGGATAGAGAGGAGCAGGACATCTAATAACAGCCAACTTGGGCCTTGCATTGTGTAATATCCTGGGCCTGAGTAGGGTTTAGCCTTACCCCCACTAGCCTATGGCTATGGCTCTGCCTAGACTATGGCTACCTCTTTCTTAGAGGTGGCTGACCTTTACCAGTGATGACCAGGGGGTAGATGCCTACCTTTTGCCCAGCAACAGATGGCTTTTGTTTCCTCTCCTCTCTGCTGCAGCTTTTCCTTGTGTGTGGAGTGATATCCCTCTTCTATGTCGTAATTAAATGTGGTTTTTCTGTAGGTAATTTCTCACGAACAGGGACTGGACTGTAGAATTTTAGAGAAGCAGGCCTGCTGTTTTGTTTGTATTATAATCAGCTGATGTGTTTGTCTTTTGCAGCTTAGGCCTGATCTCCGACTCTTTCCACATGTTTTTCGATAGCACTGCCATTTTGGCTGGATTAGCAGCTTCTGTCATTTCAAAATGGAGAGACAATGATGCTTTCTCCTATGGGTAAGACTGGAACAGATCTTTTTTTCTTCATAGATCTTAAGGTCAATAAGTCTTTTCAGTTTGAACCTATCTGAACCCTTGTAGCCCTGCTCAGGCCTTCTCTTGTTCCTTTCTACTCACCTCCCTTTCTTACCTTCATGGATTGTTTTGCCTGTTTTCAAAGAATAAAGAATTGCAATCTATAGTATATTATGTTATCTATAGTATTTTATTTCTACCTATATTATTTTGCTTGAGGAGGGTAGGCTTTTTTTCTCTTGTTCCTGTCTTCATGCACATTGTCTTTCATCTTCTTCTGAATTCTCCCTCCCTTTTCTTCCACTGTTCTCTCCTTTCTTCCCTCCCTCTTTTCCTCTCCCCTTTCTTCTCTGCATTCATGATTCCTCTTTCTCTCTTCTCCTCTCTCTCTCCCTCTCCTTCTCACTGCATACCTTTTCTTTATTATTTCTTTCTCCCTGTTCTTTTCCTCTACAGTTTACCATTGTGTCTCTCATGCTGTTTCCAGTTCTCGTTCCTAAACCTTTTCTGCTTCATGTCTTTTCTCTTACTTTCCCAGTCAATATTTCATTTATTCACCTTCTCCCTTTTCCGTGTAGTTTTTCTCAGTCCCCCTTCTGCCATATTCATATTCCTACATATGTTGTCTCTTAAGCCTTTTGGTCTGTTTTTTTGTTAGTTTGTTTTTGGTATTGATACTAGAAATTTGAACTCAGGGCCTTCTGCTTGCTAGACAGCCACACTATTCCCTGAGCCACATACCCCAAGCCCTTTTGCTAGTACTATTTTTCAAATAGGATTTCTTTCCTTTTTTTTTGGTCTAAGCTAGCCTGGACCACAGTCCTCCTGTTATACTTCCTGCACAGCTGGGATGACAGGCACATACTTCTGCACTGTTTTTTTCTTCATTGAGATAGGGTTTTCAGAACTTTTTTATTTGACTGGCCTTGAACCAAGATCCTCCTGATATGAGCCTTCTAAGTAGCTAGGATTACATGTGTGAGCCACTGTGCCTGGCTTCTCTTTTACTCGTATTCCTTTTTCCTCACCAGCTTTGATTTTGTCCTTTGTATGCATGCATGTGTGCATGCATGAGCACACACATAAACACACACACAAACACACACACACAAGACTCCTGCCTTGAAGAAACTTGTGCAATACTAAATAGGCTGAGCATAGGTATAAGCTCCAGTTCAAGATACTCATAATAGAAGAGCAACTGCAGTAGAAGAAACAGCAGGGGACTTGGAGAACAGGCCAAGACTGCTGGTTACACAAAGTTATCTCTGTTTTGTCATACTTTTAACTTTTGAAAAGCAAAGCCATATAGTAGGTAGCTAGGTGCATGTATAGATGCTCATACATGTATGTGTACATACATGTCTTATTTTGAACCTGGAGGAAGAATTTAAACATCAGCCATAATTAGGCTGTAGCACTTTTTGCAAATGAATATGGCTTAGTTCTAATAGTTGCTCTGTTCAAGACTTCGCAATCATATGTCTAGTTTTCAAAAGCTTGTCATTTTAAGTCTACAATCAAGTATGACAAATGTATTAATTTAATAAAGCCAGGAGTCTAAGAATTTATCAATTTATGGAGAGTACACTACTAATCTAGGAACTAGAAACAAAAAGTTAGCAAAAAAATTTTTGCCTTTGATCTTGAAAGTTAGTGATCTTTTTTTTTTTTTAATTGTAAAGATACTATACAGAGGGTTGCAGTTACATGAGTAAGGTAATGAATACACTTCCTATTGAGCATTGTTACCCCCTCCATTGTTTTCCCCCTACCATCCCTCCCCTCCCTACCTTCCCCTAGGTTCTTTTTTTTTTTTTTTTTTTTTTGATTGTGATTAAGTTATTACATAATTTCCCGAATTTCACAGTATTGTGGAATAATAATGCTCATTTAAAGTCACAAGTTCATTCTAACTTTCCTGGAGCAAATTGTCTATCACATTCTATAACATATAACGGTGTACACATGTTATACACCATACATGTGATCAGCAGCATGGGGATATTTAGTAGTGGTTCGACCAGATGAGTGGGAGTTCTTTGTTTCTTCTTTTTTTTTTTTTTTTTGGGTCAGATCGTGGGGCCTGAACTCTGGGCCTGGGCGCTGTCCCTCAGCTCTTCAGCTCAAGGCTAGTGCTCTACCACTTGAGCCACAGTGCTACTTCCGGCTTTTTTCTTTTTGCTTATGTGGTGCTGAGGAATTGAACCCAGGGCCTCAAGCATGCAAGGCAAGCGCTCTACCACTGAGCCACCTTCCCAGCCCCTAGTTCTTTGTTTCTTAAGTCCTGTTAGTTTTGTCGTATCACCTTACATTTTGGATTTAGCATCCACTTATCAGGGAGACCATGTACTGTTTGTCTCTTTGCTCTTGTCTTACCTCGCTCAACATGATTCCTTCTAGCTCCATCCATTTCCCTGCAAATGCCATTATTTTGTTATTTCTAATGGCTGCATAATATTCCATTGTGTATAGATACCACAATTTTTGGATCCATTCATCTGTGGTGGGGCATCTGGGTTGTTTCCATATCCTAGCTATTGTGAACAGTGCTGCAATAAGAAAGTTAGTGATCTTAAGGTCTGAAGGCTTTCAATTCAGCACTAGCTACAAGACTAGGGGTAGACTAATAGAAAACGTGGGGGCTTTTTTTTGAACAGTAAATCCTGTTATTAACTAAATTCCTCGTAAGTGAAAGTTGTAGAAATCTACAAATTATTTGAACCTAAATGCACTTTTCTGTAGAAAAACAATATGCTTTGCAGTAACCTATTAATTTATCTGTTAGAAGATAGAAATATGCATTATTTCTGAGTAGAGAAATACACATTATGTTGGAATGTACTTAAAAGGATTAACAAAACAAGTAGGATCCATTTAAAAAGTATGTTCTATTGAAAATTAACCATACAACTTGTGGGTCAAGACAGGAGGGATAAACTGGGAGACAGTGAGGGAAGGGGTGACATTGTCCAAAAAGAAATGTACTTATGGGGCTGGGAAGGTGGTTCAGTGGTAGAGCACTTGCCTTGCATGCATGAGACCCTGGGTTCGATTCCTCAGCACCACATAAGCAAAAAGAAAAAAGCCAGAAGTGGCGCTGTGGCTCAAGTGGTAGAGTGCTAGTCTTGAGCTGAAGAGCTGAGGGACAGCGCCCAGGCCCAGAGTTCAGGACCATGACCGGACTCCCCCACCCTAAAAAAAAAAGAAAAGTACTCATTACCTGCCTTATATAATGGTAACCTCTCTGTACATCACCTTTATGATAACAAAAAAATAAAGAGTTTGTTCTCACCAGGCATACACGCCTGTGGTCCCAGCACTCTAGTGACTGAGGCGTGAGCCCCATAGGGAGTTCAAGTCCAGCCTAAGAATGTCTTTACATAGGGCGATCTCTCTCAAAAAAAATTAGTTGTTCATTTCACTTTTAGAAACATTTTTACAGCCAGGAGCCAGTGAGTCATTCCTATGATTCTACTCAAGAGGTTGAGATCTAAAGATCAAGGTGTGAAGCCAGCTGGGGCAGGAAAGTCTGTGAGAGTTTTATCTCTAACCACCAAAAAAGCCCTCAGTGGAGCTGCGCTCAAGTGGTAGAGTGCTAGTTTTGAGCACAAAAGTCCAGGGACAGTGTTCAGGCCCTGAGTTCAAGTCCTCCCTCCCACCCCCATTTACAATAAAAATTACATTATTTAGAAGTTGACCTAGAAAACTAGCAAAACCTCCCCTCCCCCCCCCCCCCATCCCTGCCCATGCTAGTCTTGAACTAGTAATCTTCCTGTTTTGACCTCCCAAGTACTGGGGTTACAGGTATTGATTACAAGATTATAGGTATGAACCACCACACTTGGCCTGTAAAATCAGTTTTGATGCTCATGTTTAGGACAAGAGTGATTAAGTGATGCTAGCACACTTTGGGTAAAGTTTGAACATATAAAAATAAATATTAAGCTAAAGTTGTTTCTTTCACTTTAAGCCAATATACCTTGTGGGAAAATCAAGTCTTTCTTCAATACCTCACATAGGTAGGAAGCAGAAAGGTTCAGGAGTTCACGGGCAAAGACGAGGTATTTTAAAAAAAGAGTTCAATAAGAATTATGTAAAGCTAAAATTAATTTTATAGATAATTTACAATTTTTGCTAAATTTAGTAATCTTTGAGAATTAATGAAAAGACTATAAATCTCAAGTTGTCCCTGGGATAATTCAGGTTACTTTTACTTGAGAGTAAAGCTCTCCTTTCTGAAGATTTAAAAGCTGAAAGGTATAGAGCAGAACACTTAAGGAGTTCTTGGGAAAGCAGTAAGTAAGTAAGTTCTGAAAGTCTCTATTTCTAGCCTGTTTCTTCCATTGTTTTATCTTTGGATTCTTCTTCCTTTGCCCACTCATCCTATTCCTGTTTTCCAGTGGCACCTTGAGATTTACCTTTCTCTGAATGGTCTTTCTAAACCTACTTACTCTAAGAAGGTCTTTGGCTTGTAGACATCTGGTGTTTTGTGCTGTTCTGCTACTAAACATAATCCATAATGCATTCTCACTAATTCCCTCAGTGTATGTAAAAGAAAATGGACCCTTCTATGAATGTGAGGACTTTGTTGGCACTTATAACTATTTGATATGGTTTAGAATGTCTAAAATAGATAAATGCATGATTTTACTTTAAAGAAATGGTTCATTTGTTTCTCTTTGCTTCTCTAGGTATGTGAGAGCGGAAGTCTTGGCTGGCTTTGTCAATGGCCTATTTCTGATCTTCACTGCTTTTTTCATTTTCTCAGAAGGAGTTGAGGTATAGTAGATAGTGATTAGAGTCAGCAAATTCTCTAATGAAAATGTTTATTCACTGAAGGCATGAAATAGAGCTCTTTTCAACTACCATTATTTGTTGAGGACAGTCTTGGAGAAGACAAAGTATTATGTGTGTACCACAGGAGCTTACAAACCATTGAAAAAATTAAAATAGATGTGAACCTTCCTGCAGGGGAAAGGGTGAAATGACTGTCTTTGACACCTTAGAAATAAAGGTCTAACCTGGGTAGTGAGGTGAGGGGGGGAACTTCTCAGCTCACATACATCTTGAGAGCTTTTCTAGCAGACCTTTAATATTTAATATTTAGTGTTGATGTTAATAATAAAGGAAATGTTAAGATTTAGTGCATTTACAAAGGGCAACGTTTGATGATAGCAAAGTGGAACAAGTTTATAGCCAAATAGTCACACTTGTAAATACTTTTCTTTCTCTAAGAACTACAATTGTTACTTTTTCTAAAGTCTGTGAGCACTACTTTTATTTCTCCAAATCTTTTGTCAGTTATCTTTGAATACATTTAAATCCGAAATGATTAAAGTTTGTAATATTGCCTTATGTTTTTATCAGTTGATCCATCACAGATTATATTGATGCTGTTGTATCTGTTGTTTTATGTATTTGCCAGAGAGCCTTAGCTCCTCCAGATGTTCACCACGAGAGACTGCTGCTTGTTTCAATTCTTGGGTTCGTGGTAAATCTCATAGGAATATTTGTTTTTAAGCATGGAGGTCACGGACATTCTCATGGCTCAGGTATGATGGGTAGAACACTCTCTCTCTTCCTTTTCATTCTTCTTCTGTCCTGATTACTTGCTTTAGAGAAATTGATCACTGTGAAAGTTTAACCATATATTGATTTTTAATAACAAATGCAGTGTGTTAAAAGACTTTGGAAGTTTCTAAGACCCCAGTCTTTTCTCTGTACCATGGTGATTTTGCTGTGGATCCCTCCAGGTATCTGCAGCTTTTCTCTCCAGAAGAGATACCATTCCTACAAAACCAAGTATTCAGGAAATACAGAACAAATCTAGTTACTAAAAATTTAGTGTGAGACAAATATACCATATAGTGTGTTGTTGAGATCCTGCTATTTTGTGTATAGTCATTCCATTTTGTCTGGTTAAGAGGTATATAAAACTTCCTGGTGTGGTTCACTTCGATATTTTTACCATGGTTAAAAATGGATGGATTCAGGTCACTAAATCCATATAAAGTATGCCTGTGAACATAGTACAAGTGTTTTTCCATATATATGCTTATTGTACCTGCTAATCACATGGAACTATTTATATTTACATTCTAGTTAATTGAAATGAAAATAAAGACTTTACCTCCTCACTTACATTTGTGACATTTAAGTCACAAATTATTATACTTGTGACATTTAAGTGCTCAATAACCACAGGACTCTACTGTATGGACGGTGCAGATAGAGAGCATTTCCTTATTGCAGAAAGTTCTTTGAGTACCTTATGCTACCCTGAAATCTCTAAGCAAAATTGGTCAAATATAGTATTTTTGTAAACATTTTCTTTTTAATGGGCATTTGCAAACTGCCTACTGAAATGTCTATAATTCACATGTACTCCAAGAAGTGAATTTACTAATTCTCCACCCATGTCAATATTTAACATTGCAAATTTAATACAGTTTTGCTAATAATTGGATAAAAATGTTTTCTAATTTTATTTCAAATTTCTCTGATCATCAGTGAAGTTGAACATCTTTCTGCATGTTCTCTCAGGCTAGTCTTCTAGAATTTTCTACGATTCTTTTGCTAGGGTCTATTGTCTTTTCAATCCATTTATTATATAAATATTTTTACAATTCTCGTGCTTTGTGTTTTGTATGTTGCAAATCTTTTGCTATTATATAGCTTGTCTAAATATTTAGGGGTTTATACTTTGAAAAGAGTGTAGTTTTGTCTTAAAAGTTTTTAAAAATATATTTTATGCTTTTTTAAGGAGGTTGTTATTCCCAGGACATAAATACAATCTCTTAAATTTTGATTCTTTTCATTTGATGGGTTTTTAAAGTTTTCTTCCTGTTTTTTTCCCCCACTACTTACAGTTCATTCTTTTTTTTTTTTTGGGTCTGGTCGTGGGGCCTGAACTCTGGGCTTGGGCGCTGTCCCTCAGCTCTTCAGCTCAAGGCTAGTGCTCTACCATTTGAGCCACAACGCCACTTCTGGCTTTTTTCCAGGGCCTCATGCATGCAAGGCAAACGCTCTTCCATTGAGCCACCTTCCCAGCCCCTTATAGTTCATTCTTAATGGGCAAGCTAAGCCTTAACTTTTTTTACACACCATGAATAAGCAGATTTTCCGTTACCATTTATTAATTGGCTCTTTGTTTTCTTAAGGCTCTTCTGAGGATAACAAAGTTAATTTATTATTCACTAAAATTAATTCAGAATAACTTTATCCCAATATATGTATGTCTCCTTGCTCTTTATTATATCAAAATACATATTTATTTTTACAGACCCATCAACACAGTTAGCAATTACTGATTTATGCAACTGCCTTTTAAAGCAGATACTAGAAGAAGAGTTACAAATAAAATTATGTAAATATATCTAACTTCTCTTTCCTATCATTGTGGTTATATTTGCCATTGCTTCTTTGTTGTTATGGGTTTGAGGTACTATGTAGTATCCTTTCATTTCACTATGAAAGACTGACTATTATTTTCAAGGGATAGGTTTTTGTTCATCTGGAATGTTTTAATCTCCTTTATTTTAAAGGAGAGTATGTAATAGAATATAAAATTCATAATTGAGTTTTTTTCTCCCCCTCTCCAAAATTTTAGTAAGCTTCCATTGCTTTCTAGCTTCTATGGGTTCTTTTGGAGGCTAGAATCTTATTGTAGTTTCTTTGTACTGTTATCTTTCTGTTGCTGTGTTTTTTTCTTTGTGTTTGACTTTCTATGCTTTGACTATAGTGCTTTGAGATGTGAGTCAAATTGGAGTATTTTCCAGCCATTGTTTCTTTGTGTCAGTATTGGGGCATGAACTCAGGGCCTTCTCTTTGCTGGTTAATTGGAGATAAAGTCTCATGGACTTCCCTTCCCAGACTCTTTGAACTGCAATTCTCAAATCTAGCTACCCTCCTGAGTAGCTAGAATTACAAGCATGAAGCACTAGCCCCCAATTCAAATACCTTTCCCTCCCTTCCTCCTCTCTACCCCTCCCTTTCTTTCTCTTCCTCTTCCTTCCCCTGTTCCCTTCCCCTCCTCTTGCCTGAGATTGTTGCCTCAACAAGGTTCAGTAGTTTCTTTAAATATTTTTCCATTTATTTTGTGGTATTATTAGTTGCCAGAGTTTCTGAAATGATTAGTTTTTAGTTGTTTCTGCTATATTTTTGTTTTGAACAATAGTTGGTTGACCAAGGTCTCCTTTTCACCATTCTGGAAGGTAATTTCTATAGTCACCATCTTTTTACATAATGTAATACTAATTTGATCCTCCAATATAGAACTTATTCTTGTACTCCATAATAGGAACGCAGAATGGTTTGAAGAAATCTGTAACACTTTCTCCCAGTAAATTTTCATTGCATTGAACCTAGATTTAGAGCATCTTATCGTAATCATCCATGCATTTTTACATACTTTCTGTTCTGATGTTCTTTGTTTCCTAGGCCATGGGCACAGTCATTCCCTCTTTAACGGTGCTCTCGACACGGCCCAAGGCCATGGAGATCATTGCCATAGTCATGAGATGAAGCACGGTGCTGCACACAGCCATGACCATACTCATGGCCACGGTCACTTCCATTCTCACGGTGAGTGCTCAAACCCTTTGCATATGAGGAGAGGTTCTGTGTCATCGCCTTACAAGCAGCTTTGTACCCACCCTGTGCCAGTCCTTCCTTATCTCCACCTCCCTCCAGCTCTTCTACTGTCAGTTTCTGCGTGATTTGACATAGATTCTTCATAAAAATGATATCATGTACTGTTTATTGTTCTGTGTGTCTAGTTTATTCATGATTTAACATGTTCTTCTCGTTTATCCATGTTGTCACAAATGGCAGGATTTCTTTTTCTAAGGCTGAATAGTACTCAGCTGTAGATACCACCTTTTTAAAATTTTTGTCCATTCATCTTTTGGAGTACATGTAGGTTGCCTGCATGTCTCAGTTATGGTAAACAATGCTGCATTAAACAAGGAAGTACAGGTATCACTTACAGATCCTGATTACAGTTCCTTTGCATCTTACCCAGGAATGAGATTGCTGGTGGTGTGGCAGATTTTAATTTTTTTGAGGCATGTCCAAACTGTTTTCCATAGTGTCTGAATCAGTTAACATTCCTGCTTGCAGTGTGTAGTACAAGGATTCCTCCTTTTCTCCACATGCTTGTCAATACTTGTCTTGTTTTGTTTTTTTGATACTAGCCATCCTGCCAGGTGTGAGATGATACCTCATTGAGGTTTTGATTTGAATTTCCCTGGGGATTAGTGATGTTGAACACCTTTTCATATACCTGTTTGGCCATTTGTATGTCCTCTTTGGAGAAATGTCTGTTCAGTTCCTTTGGCCATTTTTTAATCAGGTAATTTTGTTTTCCTTTTGTTTGTTTGATTAGCTTTGTAGCTATGTAGTTTGCTTGTAATTCTGTTGGTCTGTGTTTGCTCATTTCCTGTTTTAGTCTCTAAAATTTGCTCGTTCATAATAATTGCACTAGTATGTGTTGAAAGCTTGCTTTTCCAACTTTTCACTCATGCATCATTCCAGATTAATTCTGAAAATTACATTTCTCTTACACATTCTTACATTGATTTCTTAAAAAAAAAATTGTATATCCAAGATGGTGAATGTGTTAAGCTTTGCACTGTGGTGAGAAAACAAAAGAGAAAACAACTTTAAAAAATTCTTCATGCAAAGCCGGGTGCCAGTGGCTCATACCTATAATCCTAGCTACTCAGGAAGCTGAGATCTGGGAATCATGGTTCAAAGTCATCCTGGGCAGAAAAGTCCATCAGACTCTTATCTCCAATAAACTACCCAGAAAAAGCTGGAAGTGGTGCTGTGGCTCAAGTGATAGCTCTGAGCACAAAGAGGCTCAGGGACAGTGCTGAGACCCTGAGTCAAAGCCCTAGGACTGGCACAAAACAAAAAAGATTGTTTATGCATTTTTAAAGAATCTTCTTTTTGGTATACCATATATGATACGTTAGAATGAAAGTTCTACATCATTGTGTGGACTCTGCCTTAGTGATTTGAGAGCCACTATCACCTATTCAAAACCATAGAAGCAATTAAAGATCCTCCATCCTGTTTCTCCTTTAACTCTTAGTTTATTGCAGAGTTTTATAATAATAGAGTATATTTGTAATTAGCCAAACTACAAAGTCTGTCAAAATAATTCTGTCTCAGATTTTTATATATGGATATTAGCCATAAAAGACAACATTTAATTTGAAATATATATATAACAATTAGGTATATGTATAATAATTAGATTTAAAAAAATATTTTATAAATAAATAATACTCATTGGCTTAAAAAATGGATTTTGACATCAGTTTTTCACCATTGTAAATAAAATACTAAGAAACTGTAAGTAGAGCTTTCCACTGTTCCAGCAGTTTCAGTCAATTCTTTGAATACCTTCAACATTATGTTCCACAAGTTTAGTGATCTATCATCAAACTTTTTAAGGAGATTGATTAATTGAGACTTCTAGTAACTAATGCCTACATTGTATTGAAAGCTAAGAATTAGAAACTACATTGCCTATGAAAGGATTTGCTGACTATCATCATTTCAAGTGGTGCCTTTTATGTAGCCCTGGGCTTTTTTTGTACTTCTTGAGCTATGCAAGGTAGTAAGATTCTGTATAGCTAAAAGACAGAAGAATCAGTCTATCCTTTAGGTATTCTCAGGCCAGTCGGTTTTAGAAAATTCTGCTTTTGAATTTGATGAACTAGAATTTGGGTCCCTTTTATGTGTGGAATACTTTACTCCTTAACCAAACTCTGAACAGTTCTTGGATTTAGTGGAATGCTTGCAAAATGTGCAACATAGCATGATTATATAACTCTAGAACCAGCCTCAAGGGAATTTCAACTCATTGTTGATGACATTCAACATAGAATTGAAGTTGAAAGGACAAAGAAGCCATAAATTAGTGAAATTAATTTGCATTGTCTTTCTCCTTAAAAAGACTATATGTTTCTTGAAAACAAGAACTATGTCTTATTGATCTTTGTTTTAACAAGATTCTAGCCTAGTCCTGGCATATAGATCAATTCATTAAGCATTGTGTTTATTACTGTGTATATACCCTTTATGTGCTTGTTTTACTATCTTGCTGTAATCGTTTTCAACCCTTAACTAAGCAAACCCAGGATGAGTGTGCACTGAATGCTTTCTGATTTTTTTTTTTGAGTATTTGTATAGGCTTTCCCAGTTGAGCATCCTGAATGCAAACTCTGAAATGCTTCAAAAGCTGAACTTTGAATATGAAATAGTCTCAGATTTTTCAGCAACTTGAATTCTAGATAAGGGATGCTCAGCCTATAGTTTAAAAAGGATTTATATCTGATTTTGATTTTTAGAATTACTTGGTAGAGATATAGACAGGGAAGTTTTTGTTTTGCTTTTTTTAAAAAAAAAAATCACTAGAAAAGCCAGTCTCTGTTTAACTTTTAGCACAAATACTACGCACGCGCGTGCACACACACACACACACACACACACACACACGTAGACTGGGAGCAAATATCATTTTATATGCATTTGTTGAAAAATAAACATTCATAATAGCCTGAAACTATTCCAGTAGTCACCATTCTAATAAGCAATATTGATCATTAGTAAGTGTTTTTTCCTCCCTCCCTACTAGATGTTTTGAATGTGCAATATGTTGCCAGGAATATTCTAAGTATTTTACATGTGTTAACTTAAAAAATTTCCTCATGAACTAATGAGGTAGATAAAGCTTTTGTTCTCATTACTAGGGCACAAAGAAACCATAGTAATTGAAAATTTAGGGTCTGAACATGTGGATGCAGTCCTTAAAATTTGTGCTGTTAGCGGTTCTGCCTTCAGTTTTCTGTAAGTGCACCATGGGACTCTCTGTAATAGAGCCATGATTTCCTTTCATCCAGAAGAGACAGATAGTCTCACTGGGAAATACTATGAACTCTATGTTTATTGGAATGCTGCACTGTGAGTAAAGCTGTCTTCAAAAATGAATGAATAAATAAATAAAATAAAGCCACTCAAATTCAATAATGTAAGCAGAAAGATGTATTAATTGCTCTTAATTAGTTAGTAGAATGTGGGACCTGTTCCTCATGGCAACTGGGGATCTGGGCTCTTTCCCATCAATGGAATTCCCACACTTGGTTTCACACAGCCTTCTCTGTGGATCTCCAAGCTGTATATTCTTGGGAGCCTTGGAGTGCTTACAGCTCATGTACACCTTGGTCCACAGCTCTGCCACACTCTGGCACTTGACTGGAGGTGTCTAGGGACTTCTGGTTAGCTGTGTACCTGAGAGAAAGAAAGAAATGACTTTGCCAATCCAAAGATAAGATATGTAACTAAGAAGATGATTAGATTTGCAAACTTGGGAATTAGGTTGTTTTTGTTTTTTTGTTTTTTTTTTGGGTCCAGTCGTGGGGCCTGAACCATTTGGGCCTGGGCGCTGTCCCTCCGCTCTTCAGCTCAAGGCTAGCGCTCTACCACTTGAGCCACTGTGCCACTTCCAGCTCTTTTCTTTTTGCTTATGTGGTGCTGAGAAATCGAACCCAGGGCCTCATGCATGCAAGGCAAGTGCTCTACCACTGAGCCACCTTCCCAGCCAGAATTAGGTTGTTTTATATAACTTCCAGTATAATAGACTAGCACTTTCAAAATACTGATGTCAAGAAGTTTATCTAGATCTAGCTATAGACAGCATGTGTGCCTTGATAGAGAACTGAATTTTTACAATAGTTGTACTTGTTGCAGTCTTTTGATGCCAGTGCATGGTACAGTCTTATGTTTTTTTCTAGTTCTTTTATAATGTTCCAGAACCCAGGTACATGCTCTGTCAGTGCTGCAGTGATGAGATTGTACTGGACAGCTCTTTGGTACTGTCAGTGAAAAACTATTGACTACAGGCAGGCATTCTTAGTCCTTATCAAAAACCTTGTCTGTCCTGATAATCCCTTCTTGGGTGGGAACCTTTTTCTTGCCAGAGGCCATTTGGATATATGTATAACATCATTATGAACCATAACCAATTATCAGTAAAGGCAGATGGACTACACATAGCCAGTGAGAAACACAGTATCCCTCCTGTCGTGATTTCAAGGGCCTTAGATGGCCTGCAAGTTCCCCATGCCTGCTTAACCAAAAATGTTGCTCATCTTTAGCTTGTTTACTGATGTTTTCTGCTTCAGTGTAAAGAGGTCTAGTAACTTTCACTGCATTTAAGTATGGAAATGATGGCATTTTTCACTTTTCTCTCATAAAGGCAAGGTTGTAACAAGAGTTTTTCTCTCATCTGTGTAGAAGATGTTCCCTATCCACATAGAAACTATTATAAAAGTACTGTTTGTTCGCTGTATTCAAGTTACCCTGGTTCCTGTCCTGGATCTCTTACAACTTCAGTAGTAAATCAAATCTTCTTGGACTTTTCCAATTGCAGAAATATTAGAACATATTTTACTAGCAAGTTTGCATTCTGTTTTGAGTTTCTCATGCTTCTTAAAGAGTTTCTTAATTCAGTAATTTCCAAAATACATTTAAAAATTACCGTTACTAAATTTACCTCTATTAATTATTTTACTAAACTTTAAAAATAATTTTGTAGGTCTGATGTGGCCACATAGTCACACATCCTTCATGATACATTTAAATGAAAAGGACTCTGAATGAATGGCAAAAAAAATTGAATCAAGAGTTGAATACATTTTAAAATAATTTAACTTAATTCTCTACAGATGGTCCTTCTGTTAAAGAAACAACAGGACCCAGTAGACAGATTTTACAAGGTAAGACAAGCTATTTGTGTATTTTATAATTGTATGGATCCATTTCTATAAGTTTTAGTTGTCTTAAATGTTTAAGAAAATTGCATAATTAAACTACATTTTAAAGTGTTTGCCTCCTTAGTGATTATTCTCTAGATGCCCTATTAGGTAAGTCAGCCAATATTCCTTTGTCCCTTGGTTTTTCCTCATATTTAGTATATAAATATCCAGCCCATGGCTCTAGTAACACTGAGCTAATGTATTTGATGTTGTTGCATCGTTACTCTTCTCCCATCAATAACATTCAATATGTTCCTATTCTGTGGGGAAGTTTAGAGCTAAAAAGTGAAGTACAATCTGGGTGCTGGTGGCTCACACCTATAATCCTAGCTATTCAGGAGGCTGAGATCTGAGGATCACAGTTCAAAGCCAGACTGCGCAGGAAAGTCCATGAGACTCTTATCTCCAATTAACCACCAGAAAACCGGAAGAGGTGGCTTCTGGGTTTTCCTGAAGAGGTTTATTTTGTCTTCTAGACACTATTTTTCCATTTATAAAATTTACAGAATTGTCTTAGAACAGTTTTAGTTGAAATAATGATTTTAGATGCAGCTATGTCAAAGCTATAATTTAGTTCTAATTCTTTTTTTAAACTTTTGAAAATCACAGGTGATAGGAAAGGAAGTTAAGTATGGCCTCCTGTTGTCTTTTATACAAGCTGTTAGGAGAAAAACTTTAGTGGCCTCAGGAAATTCTAGTCCCAGATGGTAATGATTTTAGTCACCAGCAGAGGGTGCTATGTGTATTGTGTATTTGGAATTACAAATTTGAGCTTTTTTTTTTTTTTTAAGTTGAATACTATTACTTCCCCAAAGACATTATTTTATTTAACTTTTGTACTTTTTTCAGTCAAACATTTACAAGAATTGTAAAAAACAGTTTGATTCTGGGCTGGAAAGGTGGCTCAGTGGTAGAGTGCTTGCCTCACATACATACATAAGGCCTGGGGTTCGATTCCTCAGCACCACATAAGCAGAAAAGGCCAGAAGTGGCACTGTGGCTCAAGTGGTTGAATGCTAGCTTTGAGCTGAAGAGCTGAGGGACAGCGTCCAGGCTCAGAGTTCAAGCCCCACAACCGACAATAAAACAAACAACAACAACAACAACAACAAAAAACAGTTGTTTCTGTACTTTATTTGATAATACTACTATTTATTGAGAGCAAGTATACCAGATGTTGTAATATCAGTATTCTGGAGGCTCAGAAAGGAGGATGGCAAATTTGAGGTCATTCTGGGCTACATAGCAAGCTATTCTCACTGAGGCTGTAGGACTATATTATGAGATCCTATCTCAACAGCAACATGAAAGAAGAAACAGAGGCAAGAAGGGGGAGAGAGAAAGAGGGAAGAAGAGAGGGAGGGAAAAAAGGAAGGAAGAAGGAAGGAAGGAATGCAAATATAACTTACCATTTAGATTCAAAGCCCTGTTGATTGATAAATGAAAAGATTATTTAGGTTCTTAAATTGTTACTGTCTTGTTATGTAGCTATTAAGCAGTGGATATACTTAGGGGTTTTTCAAATCAATATCTCGTTTTCTATATATAAATTGAGTACAGTTCTAGGAAATACTGCCATTTTAATTTGCACAGATGTTAGATACCATGTTTACTTCTGTCCTGCTTTCCCTGTAGGTGTATTTTTACACATCTTGGCAGATACACTTGGGAGTATTGGTGTCATTGCTTCTGCTATCATGATGCAGAATTTTGGTTTGATGATAGCAGATCCTATCTGTTCAATCCTCATAGCCATACTTATTGTTGTAAGGTAAGTGCTGCACTGTGTTACTTCCAACTATAAGGCAGAGAGAGGCAGTAAATCTACTACTTAAATTATAGGTCTAAAATACCAACAAGGATATCATTTTCCCTTTGATCCTTAAGAAGTTCTTAGTAGATTCTCTTTTATCTTCATAGTTTTTCTGTGTTTCTCATTTATTTTTTTCTTGGACGTAGATATTCCTTTTTGCTATTTGGTAGTTAAGTTTTTCATCATAACTCAAATTAGCAGTCATTTTTCTAAATCTGACACTGTGTAGTGTAAAGCATTGGACATGTAAAATGTGTTAATTACAGTTAGAATGTTATAGTTAACATCTAAATCTAGATATCCATGTCTATAGGTATCTCTCAGATTATCAAATGCAAGTAGAAAGTCTTATCTACTAGAACTATTTTTAAAGTCACGATTATGTTGCAGAAATCTCATAGAAGTTTTTGCTGAGATAAATTTATGTCCAGCCTTCCCCCTCATTGAGATGATATGGTTCTTTTTTAATTTTATTTATTATTTTATTTTTTATTGTGAAAATATTGTACAGAGGGGCAAGATAATGAGTACATTTCTGATCAAGCATTGTAGCCTCCTTTGTTTCCCCTTCCCATCCCTTCTCATCCTCCCCCCCACCCCCCACCTAATCCTCCCGTCCCCCCCCCTCCCCTATAACCTCTGCTTTCACTGTATTTGATGTCGGTATAATTTGTGGAGGGGAAGGGGAAAAACAAATCGTTTAAATAGGGATACAGGTGGACCCATTGCAACAATGAGATATACAAGTCGTTATGTCAAAAATGAAATGGTTCTTGAAGGTGCATCTTATTCTTAACTCTTTACCGTGTCATTGCCTGATACAGTGCTGTTGTTGTGTGTGTGTGTGTTTGTGTACGTATGTGTGTAGGTGTGTAAATTCTCGTAATTGCTGAATTTGATCATGTAGTTAGTTTCATTGGAGTTTCTTTTATCCTGGGATATTTTTGAAAGAATAATAAGATTATTTGTAAGTGTTCCTTTATTTGACTATCTTTAGTTTCTTAGAAATTTGCATAGTATGTCTTAATCAGAGTGTTCTTATTTTTCCATATGACTTTATTCAGTAAAATTTTCTTTGTAATGATAACCAAGACAAATAGAGGTGGTATTATGATTTTTTTTTTATAGCTCATAGTTGAGAAGGGTGATTGTAATAGAGTGTGATAAAATTCTAATGTTAAAACCAGTCATAAATGGAGAGGTTCAAGGTTCGGCCCAGAAGTAAAGATTTTAAACATTTAGGTGACTTTTAAATTTCTTAATGTTATTTGTACAAGGAAGCACCTGGGGTTTCTAAAGCCTAGAAGGCCTTTTCTTCATCATGGAAATCTTACTCCATTGGCTAAGTTCAGCATGGATCGTTCATATTCTAGAAAGCTTGACTCCTTTTGTATTTTTTTGTTTTGTTATGTATTATAGTCTTAGTTGTTTGCTTCTTAAGAGTAGCATCTCAGTATTTACTTTTCTTTGTCGCCACTATTATATCTTGTTTGGATAACTGACAATCTCCAAGTTGACCTGTCTCTCTCCTTCTAGACTTTTCCCAGTGGCTCAGGTAATATTTCTCTGATGAAGAGTATGTGACATATAAAACGATCTTGCTTTAAATTAGTTCTTGCCTATTCCCCTGAGGATAAAGTCAGTCTTGAGGCTCTCAATTCTGGCTCTTCAGTTCCCTAAGTGTGTATGAGTTCTCTAGTTTCCAGGCTTTGCTCATGTTTCCTCTGTCCCAAACCATGTTACATTTCATGCATCCTCACCCCTTCTTCCTCCCCTCCCCCACCTCAAGCCTTTCAATCTTTCAGATCAGATTTAATTTAAATGGTTCCTCTTTAGGAAATATCTCCTGATTCTCTCTCTCCCAGGTGAGGTGAAGTACAACCATTTATTATATACAGAGAGTCAGGGTTATTGCCTCTGTCATGCTCTCTGAAGGCAAACTGTTCCATTGTTTTACAGTGAGCATCTAATTCTGCCTGGAAGAAAAAGTTGACACACTAACCTTGAATCAGAATAGAAGTGGTTTTTTCTTTTTTTTTTTTTTTTTAACCAATCTTGCAAATTACTAGGAGTTCTAAGTAACAAGATTTATTTAGTTCTGTTCTTATTTCTTTATGTCACAAAGATAATGAATGAATACAACACAGGATTTTTTTTTAAATCAAAATATATCCCATTTTTAAAAAACATGCAAAATCATTTCCAGCAAATACATTAGTAAGTATATGTTTCTAGCCAGGGTCTGAGATAGACAAGATCCTTCCTGTTTTAATCTTATATGATAGGGGAAAGATAGAGAATCAAATTAATAAATAAACCATTCAACTATCAGTCATTTGTGCAAAGCTAAAATAGGATTATAAAATGGTATGTAAGTTGTTACTTTACATTTGAAGGAGTCTTTAAGCTGAGATCTAAATGTCACAGGAGAGCTTGATGAAAGAAAATATTTCTAGTCTATTCTTTTTTTTTTTTTGGGTCCGGTCATGGGGCTTGAACTCTGGGCCTGGGTGCTATCCCTCAGCTCTTCAGCTCAAGGCTAGCGCTCTACCACTTGAGCCACAGCACCACTTCCGGCTTTTTCTTTTTGCTTATGTGGTGCTGAGGAATCGAACCCAGGGCCTCAGGCATGCAAGGCAAGCGCTCTACCACTGAGCCACCTTCCCAGCCCAATATTTCTAGTCTAAAAGGCCAGCATAAACTTTCACTGTAAACAACTTTGGCACAGAAAAGAGGCCAGAATTGTTGAGATAAAGTTGGAGAAATAGGCCAGGGATAGTCACACAGGGCTTAGAGTTTGGATTTTATTTTCCAATCATTGCATTGGGAAATCATAAAGGAGTGACAATATTTTAAAAATCCTTTTTACTAAAGTGAGGGGAAGATTATACATACAACCAGAGCAGGTAGATAATTATTACCATGACTGAGTAAGAAGCCATGGTCGTTTGATCCAAGGTAATAAATAATCTAATCTAGGAAGTAGAGGGAGACAGGGATAAAGTTGGCAAAGTCTCTGAGTAGAGCTAGCAAGATTTGTTCATGGTATGAGTGCATGGTCAGGGCTGAATGAACAAGGAAAAGCACAATGCTTTCTAGAGATTTCACCTGGCTGAATTGAAGGATTTTTTTGGGGGGGCGGGAGTGGGGGGGGGTCTGGTCTTGGGGCCTGAACTCTGGGCCTGGGCGCTATCCCTGAGCTCTTCAGCTCAAGGCTAGCACTCTACCACTTGAGCCACAGCACCACTTCCAGCCTTTTTTTCTGCTTATGTGGTGCTGAGGAATCGAACCCAGGGCCTCATGAATGTGAGGCAAGCATTCTACCACTGAGCCACCTGTTTTTTCTTTAAAAGAAAAAACATTGACCATTTATTTCATTGACCATTCTTGTCTTTTTTTTTTTTTTTTTGTCAGTTGTGGGGCTTGAACTCTGGACCAGAGTGCTATCCTTGAGCTCTTTAGCTCAAGGCAAGTGCTCTAGCCACTTCGAGAAGGAGGTTTTGTTGAAAGAGAAAAGGCTCGGAGAAATGTTTTTCAGAGTTGACTCCAGATCAGAAGTTCTGTTTAATGGTTGTAATTTTGGGATTTCTCAGTAGATATTTATGTGGAAATTTCAAGGAGGTGTATGAGTATTCAAAAATGGAATTCTTGGTAGTAGTCAGCTAACCGTAAGACCAAACTAACGGTATAAAGTTTCCAACTGTATGAATGCATTACTCCCATTTCTCCCATTTGCTTGGAAAATATCCCTTGATATGGTACTTCCAAAATAGTGCTAGTCACAGCTAGCAAACAGCCAACATTTAGCTTCCAGTGGCAAAACCTATTCGTTATCTTTGTCTAGATCCTACTGACCAAAATGTAGATACTTTTATTTTATGTATACATATATACAAATATATATGTAATGTGTGTTATATAATTGGATTTCTTTTAATGGTAAGCTTTTAACATTTGTATTATTTGTTCTTTTTATCAGATAACCAAAGTAATACAGGCTGATTGTACAAAAAATTCATTGTTGAACTGTATAATTTAGCTATTGAAATGTCTCATAATCATACCTTCTAGAAAGAATAGATAACTGTAATCTAACCTAAAATTGTTCAACAAATACTGTGTGTCCACTCTGTACCAGGCACTTAACAACATAGGCAAGGACTTTATCTTCATGGAGCTGACATCATTACGGGGGTGACAGCCAGTGAAGTAAGTGAATATGCAAATACATAATTAATGTAATGTCAGTGGGTGAGCAGTGCTATGAAGCAGGGTAGGAGGTGGTGTCTCAGAAGGGCCTGAGAAGTCCCCTGCATGCGGTGACATTTGAACAGACCTGAATGGAAAGAGCAGGGCATGGATCTGTTAGAGGAAGAGCATTCCTAGTGATCACTACCATCTATAAATGCACTGAGGCAGGAGTATGCTGGGCTGTGTAGCTGGGGTGAGATGAGCAGGGCAGTGTAGGGCCGGGTTGGGGTGAAAGATACACATTTGGGCTTCATAAGCTCCCATATGATATTGACAGCCATGAGATTGGGTGGGAAGAGAGAAGAGGACAGAGGACAGCTCTGAGGGAGGTGAGGACAGGAGACAGCAACAAGGAGGAACAAAATAGAGTAGAGTAAGGAGAAAAGAACAGAGCCACATTGTGTTAGAGGCCCTGTGAAGAAGCATTTCCCTCTGGAAGGGATAATTGGCCCTAGTAACAGCTCCTGGGAATGGTACTTGGCTGACATGACAGACACCACACTCCGAAGAGTGATAAGAATGAAGAGTAGCCCTGTAGAGACTAGGAGGGAGGAGGCGTGACTGGCAACTGCAGTCAGCTGTTGAGCCCTCTGTGGTGCAGGGGAGCTGAAGGATTGCCTGGCAGCCCCGAGGAGGCCACATCGGGGGTTGATGGTCATGAATTTAAAGGGAAAACAGTCCACACAGTTGCAGGGTTTTCTCCAGCC